GGGGTCCAATGTTGCCCCTGCTTTTCCTCCTCCTGTCACTACAGACACTAGTCTGTAGTGTAGTGGTTCTCAACCCTATTAAACTCAAGGCTCCCCTGCCCTCCCCCAGTTTCAGTTGTTAGTTTTCAGAAAAATAATGCACCAATTCTTCTGTTGCAAAAAACTCAGAAAGCCCACAGCTGGTCCAGATGTTTTTGACACTGGTGATTCCTATTTGAGATTTATGGGTCTATCATGTGAATCATGTCTGTACACCTAACATTGCTTAGCAACTCACGACATCCCTGAAAGGATCTCGAGGCACCTTGGAGCGAAGCAATACACTAGCTGAGGATCACTGTTGTACGGTGTCCCCTAGTAATGTTTGTCTTTCCCTAAATTGTCATGAAGATGTTGTCTTGAATAAACAGCAGGACTGTTTTTTTTTCTCCCTCCTCCCCGCAAACTTCTTGCTGCCTTCTTTTTCCTTGGCGAGGTAGAGGAGTGAAAAGCTCCGTCCAGATCGCAGGGATTGGAGGCTCTGTCACATGGCATATTTGGGACTTTACAACTGAAGTTTGGAAAAAGTCTGTCCATATAAACACACAAGCTGAAATAGTCCCCAGAGTTTTGAATTGTGAGACTTAAAGAAATATTTTCCCCCATTTACTTGTTAAGTAAGCATTCCCTTGTGGCATTCAAAGCTTGAGTATTGAAGTGCAATGGAGGTACAAGTTCCAATGTTATCACAGCTGTCTAAGCCAAGTAATGCAAAAACATTAAAGGCAATGAAAAAGGCTTTTCTTTTAGTAATTTCACATGGTTTTGGAAAGTTGGACAAAAAACTTTTTTTAGAATTGGTTGCATGCTTTTAAATTGTATATGCTGACTCAAGGTTGCTCATTTCCCAGTTAGTGTGGACATACTGCAAATTACTGAATTTTATGGCTTAGCTAGCAAGTAAGACAAAAGAGCAAGTAATAAATCCTCACAATGCACTTCATTTATTTTGACAGTTGTCATTTAAATGGAATTACTTGGGAAACCTTACAGAAGAGTAGAAAGTGCACCCTGTGCTCTCTTTGTGAGAGTGTGATAACGGTTAACAGTTCACCAGGGTTTTGCATGGAAGTTGGGGGTAATAGTTTTCTTCATACTTAGCTAACCAGATGTATAGGCAAATAGTATGTCAATTGAGTGATGGAAGAAAATCTGATGAATTTAAAGTCAAGTGTCTACAGACATCTGAGGTTCATCATATTTACTCATGTTTTCAGTAAGATATTTTGACCTGTTTTGTGCAAACAGCTTTGTTCTGTTTGATTGTTCCTGAAGTACCAGAAGCTTCCTTAAGACTTATTTATCTCCCTTTTATCTAGATCTGCAGGTTCAGACCTTGGTACTGGGCTTCCCATGCAACTTGACACTCCTTCCCTGCTCTCTCAGCCTTCATTTATTTTCTCAGCCAACCCTTGCATCACCAGTGATGGCACCGGCACCAGCTACAGCATGGTGCCATCTCCACCTTCCTACCACAAGTCATTGATCCCTGTTCACCTCAATACCATCAGCTCTACCACTAATGTCCTGTCTGCCAGAGAAGACCAAACACCCTCTACCTCTACCAGTTACCCGTCAGCATTTGCTGCCCTCCATCTGAGAAATGCACCTGCTCCCTCAAAACAGAACAACCAAAAGCTTGTTATTTCTGAGGCCTCCAACAGTGCGATTTGTGGAGGGGCTGTGGGACAGTACACTGGTACTGGGACTACAGGAAGCAATATTGGTCTTGCCCTCTTTGGTGTTGGGCTTGGGAACAAAGCATTGTTTCAAAGTTTAATGGAAGAAAATAGTTGCTGTTTACTCTACATTGTTGAGGATCAGCTACTAGACGTGGAACGTGCCTTCAGTACTGAATTCCTGGCCAACACCAGGGTGCTGCGGCAGCAGGATGCTGACATTGTGCTCAATGATCAACGGTACAGTCCGCAAATCGCTCATATGCATGTTTTCTTAAGGAACTTAACTTTTGAAGGGCTAACAGTGTAACTTCCTTACTGTCTTTGGGAAGTTTCATTGGTACTGGCATGCACTTGCCTTTTGTTGGATCTTGCTGGTCTGACTTCCTGCTCATGACATAAGACTGAACTTTTATGTGTTTAGTCCTCATGACAGCTTCTTGCAACAGCTATAGATCAACTCAAATTGCATTTCTCTTTAGTAAAGAAGGTGGAGGGAGGGTGACATATTCTAGGATCTTGCTGGGAAGCTTAGTTATCTGTGTGCTTGGGGCTCCAGAAAGGACTGTGGCAAACTAGAGGCCTGTCTCCTTTGTGGACAGAGATATAAGGCTATGTCTATGACCAAGTTCCCTTTTCCATGGTGTCATGTAGCTTGTGTATCAGTTTCCTTCCTGACTCTTGTCTTTTTTCTCCCAAGCAACTTGCTTATTGAAGCAGTAGAACATATGTAGAATTAAAAAGCACCATAGGGATCCTTCAATGTGAAGGGTATAGTGTAAATGTGCAATAGTGTGCTTTTATCAGAGCTCATTTTATGTCTTGGGGAAAGCTAGATTAGTACCACAAAAACAAGCTCGCTGGAGTTCTTGTCAACTTTTAAATGAAGGCAGCATTTCAGAATTCACAAACCTTAGAATGGAACAGTGTTCCTGAGAGAGGGAACTTTGTAGTACAAATTCTAAACTTGAAATGCATTAAACTATTAGTATTTTTTTTCACAATTGCACCATGTAAAGTTTCTTTAGACTTTCCTTTCTGATTTGTTAACATGGAGGGTGCAAGTAAGTTTTGAAAGACACCTCAGAAAGGTTTTTTCTGTTCACTTTTAAGATAGAGACAAAAGAATGCTATTTAAATATGTGGTGAATATATATTTTTTCTAAATCTAAATTAACACTGTCTTTATTACTTAAAAAATATGAGACTACACACTATGAATGAAGACAAAGATTCATGTAAAACTCCACTAAATGTAATGATTGAAATCTATTTCTGGCACCATTACCCCAGAACTTTGAGCCCTTATAAGATGAGAGAGAGTTATTTTGTCAATGTGATTTTTTTTTTTTCCTTCTTGGAAATTAGTGGTTTCTTCCCCCTCCCTTCCTTAAAGTAAGAGGTTTCTTAACATTCACAAAACTTGATCTCCTTCCTTTTGACTAGTTTGTTTCAGCAAATAGTTTGTCTCCACCTAACAACTTTTTCTTAATGCCTGCAGTGTCTCTGGAGCCATTATTTGTTCACCTCCTGAAGCAGCCTCAGAAATTGTATTAGATGCTTTGCGAGCGGGTAAGAGGAACTGTAGCAGACTTACAGCAAGTTCTTTCATTTTTAATCTGTGATCTGTTCTGGGTTGGGCATACTGAGTTAACCAGGCATGTACTCGGAGATCAGCATTTATCAGGGTTTTCATAGATTCATAGATGTTTGGGTCAGGAGGGGCCTCAGTAGATCATTGAGTCCAACCCCCCTGCCCTGGAGGTTATTCCACCTCCAGTGATTAGTCACTTGTGGCCTCCTCGTTTGTACCTTACAGTATCCCTTGAGGCATGTACTGAATGTCTAATTGCATAATTAGAAAGAGAGAAGTTAGTCTATAGAAGCTGCTGCCCTAAAGGCTTTCCATGCAGCTTGAGTATGTACTGGGGTCCTTTTTTTAAGTATATGTAACTGAACTGTTCAATTGGATTAGTGCAAGAAGCAAGGGTTTTTTGCTAATACCTTTTATTGAACTAATGGTATGGTTTGATGAAGACACATTAGACAAGCTTGGAGGTACAAAGTGTACTTTTCCAGGTCTGGGAAAGAAGCAAGTGCAACCTAAGCTAAATGGCTTGTGTTTAACTCCATATGTACAAAGAAATAATTGGAAAAATACAGCTAAGAATAGAAGCAGATTGAGAGTCTATGAAATTTGCAAATGGTTAATGCACTGTAGCTTTGTGGATAAGTAGCGATAACAGCCTTCCTGAAGTTTCCTGAAATGTTGTTTCTGGACTGTATTGATGTGTAATACAATATTGCAAGGTAAAAAGTGTTCTGCTTGGATTGTGTCCTACACATATTCAGCTCTATGTTATGTGACATTCTGCATAGGGAAAGGTGTGTTTTGCGAGAAGCTGCCCAGTTTAGACAGGCAGACAGCAGAGGCTTGTTTTGACGAAGCTGACAGATGTGGAAGACCATTGGTCTGTGGATTCTACAAGTAAGGACCCCATTTTATTCAGCTCTTTATGTGTTAGGGACGTACAAGTGCGAAGTAATGCAATTCCAATTATTATCTGCAAACTTTCTGTATTTGTTTTCTAGCTATTTAACCATAATTTTGATTAAGTTTACTTAGTATGTGGCTCATCAGAGTATATATATTGTATACTTGCAGCTTCAGATTAATTCTTCACACTTCTTGGAGATGCAAATCTTTTTTGTATTTGGCATAGCATTGAAATTAATTTAACCATATACATTGGATTGAGTGGTAAGAGAGTACAGATGGTAAGTGCAATGAGGCTTGAGCACTGGAGGTGCTTAGTAAAATGTTACTCCAGTCTTTTTGTGGTGGTGAGATTTTGTAAAAATTACTGAAGCATTCTTCTGGGTAACTCTGGTGTGTGAGAAAATGAAGTAGGAAGTTACTTTTTGTGATATACAGCTTCTTGATTTTGCACCTATATAGGCTTTGAGATTCACTTTTGACTGCACTATTTTGCAAAGCATCTAGTTTTACAACTATATCAAGTTGGAAAAAACAACAGTGTTACACCTTGGTTACAAACCAGTTTGGCTTCACAGATTATTTCTTGTCATGTTGATTATGGTTGTTTTCTTTCAAGCCCGAGGGATTTACAGCTCTTTTTGACTGTTTTTGTTGTATAATTTTGGAGAAGGAAAAGAAAAATATTATTGGCAGTGAATTGGCTCTGCTTTTTTCAAAATACTGCAGGAAAAAACTTTCTATTAGAAAACATTCAACATTTATTTACATAATATTTTGAAAATACAGCTTTGTTTGATTGTACTCAGTATGTTTTATGGACTCGTTAACTGAATCTTAAAATCTTGTATACACTAAAAAATAATGGTCCTGTGCACCCTATATAATAACATCAGCTGCAAGTAATGAAGATTTTGAGTATTTACTTATCTTGTGAAGAACCTAGCAAGAAATTACATAAGCTACCATTGATTTAGCCAGGCCATTTGAAGTTAGAGAAATTCATCCTATACAGATAGCACATTTAATACTTGCATATAAAACCAGAAAGATACCTTTTAATCTATATGTAACTTCTTAGGTATTGCTTATTAAACATTTTATTCCATGGTAGTTTAATCCCTGAATTGAAACTCTTAGTACACTAAAAGAGTTATGGCAGGGAAGAATTTACTATGAATTTCCGAAACCTTTAAATTGCTGATCAAATGATTTCATCAGAGAATTGTACGTCACATTTGTCTTAAATTGGTAGCCACATGTGGTCCAGATCCTTCACTGCCATCCAGTGTCAGGCTGATGGATTGTCATGGATGACTTCAGTGTACTTAACCCCATTCTTTTCTGCATGCTCACTTATCCATGTTGGCTGTCTTTCCACAGGCGCTTTGATCCAGCCATGCAGTTCTTGTATAAAAAAGTCCATGACAGCCAGGCACTGGGGAGGATTCATCGGATATCAACGGTTAGCAGCATATATCCAGCGGCTTCTCTTAGCTTCCTAAAAAAGTCAGGTACTAAGTAGCTTTCTTAAGAAGAGGTTCATTCTCTGAAGGCACATTGGTTGACCTTATTGCATATTCCAGTGGAACCTTCTGTGTGTGTATGCATATATCCCTAAAGTACATTATTTTCCTCTTAGGGAGGGGAGGCTCTTTGACACTAACCACTTTTTTTTTTTTTTTGGTGAGTGAGTATTTCTGTATGTTCTTCAGGCTAACTTCTGAGATGATTTAACACTGGCCTTCATGCAGTGCAGAAATAAACTTGCTCATAGATTTTATAGGATTTACATCTTTTAGTGTGCTCACTTTTTCCTCTTTCAGGTGGGATTTTCTATAACGCTGCTGTACATGACATTGATATTATCAGTTTGTTACTGGGGGAAAGCGCACCAGATACAATATTTTCTTTGGGACATGCATTCTGTGCAGGTGAGACTAAACTTCTCCACTACAGTGTCATTTCATTTTCTAGTTATTCCTTATTTCAGTGCTGTAAATTAAAAACAAATGTATGTGAAGTTGTAAGACATAGAGATATGGGATTTATTGTATATTATTTTGTAATAAAAGTAAAAGTGTGGAGTAGGGTGTCACCTGATGAGTGGTAAAGAGGAATGTAAATGGATTGGTGTCAGTGGTAGTAAACGTGTTTGGGATGTTCTGTCTTTCCCACCAGGCTGTGTGATTATGATCTAGTCGTCCTAGTGCCTCTTACAAAATACAAGCACTTTCATACACTAGGGATTTGCTGGTTTCCTTTATTTCCAAGTCTGAGTTGGTGTCTCTCGTCACTCAGACATGGCCTACTTGAAGGATGCAGACACTGTAGCAGTCAGCATGAAATTTCCTAGTGGAGCCATTGTTACATTGGACGTCAGTCAGCACTGCACTAAAAGCTGCGATCAGAGACTAGAGGTGTGTTTGTTTTTTTACGTAATGTAAACTTTTCTCTGATTCCTGTTTGCATGGGGGACCTATTCTTTTTTTGTGCCTATGTGCATACACACCAATGCACTACACAGAGCACCATGCAGCTGAGGTTACAGTTACAGTTTTTTGCCTGTCCTGCTGTCCTCTTAAAATTAGCTTCCACTTCTGGTAGCCAAATTCTGCTCTTGATTGTGCCTATGAGTATCTTATGGAGTTGTTAACAGCAATCAGACAGGAATGGAATTTGGCCCTGATTTTGTCTGCTTTTTCAGGTCCCTTGAGGCAGAAACTCTGCATACAATTTACCCTTGTTTCACCAACTTTTTTATTATGGGCACAGCAAGCCAGGTGTTATATTCTTGCAAGCACAAATAACAAAAAGAATGGGTCTAAATGTATTGGGCCAAAACCCTTTTGCAAATGGCCTAAGTTTATGTTGATGTACAAGACCACCAGAAACACTGAGATGTCTGCACTGGACCTGGGGGAGAAAACTGTTCATTAAATCCTAAAATAAGAGCAGCTCAGTAATCCAGTCCAGCAGACCAGATAGAATTTTAAAGCCAAGAGGCATGTTAATTTATAGTACTTTAACAGGTTTTTATTTACTTCTTTCTTCTTCCTCTCACTGTTTTCCAGGTCCATGGTTCTCAAGGATCATTACGGGTAGATAATCAGAATCCCTTGGGAATTACTGAACATGGAACCTCTGTGTCCATCTGTTCACAGACCCAGGCTGACCGGTACCGGGATGCATACAGAGAGCTCTTCCGACATTTTCTAAGGACCCTCAAAGGTTAGCAAAATCATAAGAAAAGCCATAACCAATGCTGGTTTATTTGTAAGAGGAATCTTGATATGATTTGGATTTGGCTTTAATGGAAATATGTGTAGAAAATGGTTCTAAAATCAATGGCAGTTTGAGTTTGTTTATTCTTGAAATCCCAGTTGCTGGATGAAAGAGGGAATTTAAAAGCAGATGTCTTTATATGAATGTAAAGCCCCAGACAGTCTGAACAGTCTGAAAAGCAAAAACTGTTTACTAGGTGAAAACTCTAGTTGATTAGGGTGTATTAAAAATTATAATAAACTTTTCCCTGCCAACTACCACATTTACTGGAATATAAAATGATCCCAAACATCAGATGATGCGTCAATAATTTGATTCGGTACACGGAAAATTAAAACATTTGTGATAACTTCCCAGGTATAGAATCAAATTATTGAAGGTTTGCTTGAATTTCTCCCCTTCCCACTGCTACAGCAAGGAAATAAATCAGGGAGTCAGATAGCCCCCTTGGCCTGTGCCTCCCAACTGTTTCCTGCTGCAAGCCCTTCCTTCCCCCTCCTCCCCCTACTGCTTGCTGTCAAACCCTGCTCTCCCTGAGTACATGGAAGTGAGGGGCAAACTTTAAAATACTGTACTGGCCACTGATTTTGAAATAAACATGACTAGTAATTTGCATATAGGCAAATTACTATGAGTACCCATAGACTTAGTTTATCCAGAATTGATGCATTTTACCTTTTTTGAAACTGCTGCAAGTTTTAGCACAGGTACTCCATAAACACACTTTTAAGCCGTGCTTTTGTACCTATTTATGCATAATACAAATTATGCATGTTATTAGTCCAAAACTAGAAAGCTCATTATTTACCATGTAGTTCATGGTAAGTAAGTTCCCAACAGAGCATTTCAAATCGTGGTGACCCCATAGCTTAGGACTACTCAGTATGTGCATGTACTCCAGATACACCACTTCCACCCCCAAAAGGATCCATGTGCTAATTAATGCCCCCCCCACTCGTGACTGGCACTGGGTGATCTTGTCATGAGTCCTGGGATGTTCCAAAAATGTATATGCAGATGAGGCACAGGGCAACGTGGTCTATCGTGGAGGGTAGGACTATGCTAATCATATGTGACAGGCTAAGAGGGGGTAACAGAGGGATTCTGGGTGAACTGTTTGGGGTCCCATTTGGTGATGTTTGCCAGATATTTAAACTGATGAAGAGCCAGGAATCATTGGAAATGAGAAAGGAAGGTACAGCTCAGCTGTGGAAGTAAAGAGGATGTTAAAATGTATTCAGTGTAGTGGCTTACCAGGAACTTTAAAAGGAGTTAACACTGAGGAGGACTGAAAACAATGGATATATTACCAAAGGATACTGTTATCTAAACAAGATATTGTTTACATGGGCTGCATGTCTGCCAAGGGATTTGGAAACATTTGAAGCCTCAGATGGGGGTGGAGGATGTTTGCCAGTAGTAAGTATGGCCACTTATGGTTCTGGACTGGGTCATGGATTTGGAATTTGTTTTGGCTAATTTGGCTTGGAATATGGGAAATTAAAAAAAAAAAATGGACTGCACTAGCCTAGCCTTGTGGGTCTTGAATGATTCATGGATTTGGAATTAATTTGACTGATTTGGTTTGGACATGAAAAGTTTTCCTTTAAAAACAAAAACAAAGAAAAAGTATTGCTTCTGGACCTCCTGTGGGCTAAGATCAAGTGTAGTCACTGCACTGATTCGTTACCTGAACTAAGATGGATTTGAATGGCATTGTGTAGTGGAGGGTGCACCCCGTCCACTGCACTGCAGACATGATGCCCTACAAGTTTTGTAATTAGCTTCCCACGGGCCAAGGCCAGTTTCCAGTGGGAGGATCTTGGCTACATGTCTGCTTCGTGGAAATGGGGGACTCCTCTCTAGCTTGCTCCTGTGGCCTTTGGTTAAGAGCAAGTGAGACTCTGGGGAATCCGAACCCCAAGCCTCTGGGCTTGGGCCTGCATGTAGGATGCCCACCAGTGGATTTGAGAGTATATGAAGCCCCAGGCCGAAAAGTCTGGGGTAGAGGATATTTCCCCGCTGTAGCACCACATGTGGTGTTTGAACAATTGTGTGTTGCTTAAGAGTATTTGGTACTGATTTGGCTAATTTGACCTGGAATAAGAAAAAAGTTCGAAACAACAAAGTCATTTTTGCTTAACTGGCAGGAGAGATACCATGGTATAAGTCCAGGTGGTTTCCTGCTGTGATTGGAAAGGAAGATCCCCTTCTTGACCTCTGAATGTCCATGTGTAATAGAGGGTGGAGACCTGTCCTTGTACTGCAGGCAAGGCCCCCAGGAATGATCTGGACTACACACCTATTTTATGGAGATGGGGGATTTCCCCCTAGCTTGCTCCTTTGGCCTGTTGGTTAAGGGAAGCAACACTCGGGGGTATCCAAACTCCAAGATCTCCAGGCTTGAGCTTGCATATAGGATGTCTGCCATAGCTTTGGAAGTATCTGAAACCCCAGATTGAAAAGTCTGGGAAAGAGGATACTTGCCATAGTACCACATGGATTTGAATGACTGATTTCTGCTTAATTGATAGGTTTCATAACTGATTTGGCTAATTTGACCTGGAACACAAAATTGAAAAAAAAAAAAAAAAAAAAAAAATACAAATTAAAAAAATCAGCATTTTTGGCACCAGAGGAGGGTGTGGAGCTTGCTCCAGCCTCTTCAAGTGCTGGCTTTGTATTGTAGTACCTTCAGGCCCGGTGCTTGGTCCCTCCAGGGAGAACAACTGCCCATTTTTATTTATTTATTTATTTATAATAAAGAGAGGTTCTCATCACTTTATTTGCCCAATATGTGCCATGTATTTTATAGTCATGCTCGGTGTGGCTGCATTTAATCAACTTCAGAATTGGTTTTCATTACTGAGCACATGCTGCTTTTGTCAGCAGTTAAATGATAGACAATGTATTTAACAAGGTTTCCTTGTATGTGAACGTAAGACAAGGAACTTTTCCCCCCTGCTGACTGGAGGAGGCTGTGGTGGGGAGACCTTGTCTTATGTTTGAGTAAATATGGTAACTAAAATGCTGAAATGGATGGCACTGGCAGCATCAGAACCCAGCAAATAATCAACTTCTGTTGGATGTATATGCAGCGCTCCTGGGTGATTTGTGTATGCCCATGGACAGAAATTGGCTTAAAAACAATAATATTTTCAGTGTTCAATACTTAGTGTTGGGCTGAATAAGGTTTTATGGCAGTTTAAACTATCAGAAACCAACAGTTTTTACTGAAATCTGGCAGATCCTGCAAGTGGCAGGATTTGATATACTAGGTAAATGGAAGAAACACTGGAATTGAGTATTTAATATTTATTCCAGCACACAGAGCCTGGGGCTCCCCACAGTCCAGAAATTTGGCAGCAAGGGAGTGGTGCTACCTCCCCTGCCAAATTTCTGGATGCATGGGGAGCCTTGTGGACCAGATGACATGGTGCTGGTGCCTGCAGACTGGGGTTGAGCACTGCTGAAGTAGACAAAGGGTAAGGGGAGAAGCAAGCACAAGGCAGCGAAGTGACTCAGGAGCCTCAGGGAGGACCTGCAGCAGAGCAGACAGTAGGGCTTCAGACTTCTGGTTTTGCAGCCTGATGCTCTTTGTACCAGTGCTGCCTTCCTCTAGTAACACAGTCTCGTTTTTCCAGGCAATGAACCCCCTGTTATCACCAAAGAGCAGTTTCTCTGGACGATTCAGGTAGCTGCGGCTGCTGAGCAGTCCTGGAGGAACGGATCTGCTGTCGACTTGCGCAACGAAGCAATAGATGTGTCAGTAATCAAGACTGAAATCATGTGATGTGCACTGCTGCTTGAAGTGAAGGAGCTGTCCGGAGACCTGCTAGAGAGCGCACCTCTCTATCTAGTGATGTTCCCACTGTTGTCTTAAAACAAAAAGCCTTGTTGTGTTTTGTCATTTTCATTGGCGATGCCCAGAACTTGGAGCTTGTTTTGAACTCCATAAACATGCAGTGCTCCTGTTGCTGATGTTTTGGAGGATGTTATCCGGGACCCTTAAAAGAAATGATGGAGGCTTTGTCTGCACTGGCATTTCCCTTTTATATTATGGAATATTATTTCCTTGACAGTGGATTTCCCTGAGGCTGGTCATAACGTGGTAAGGATATGCTGGCATTTCCTTTCTGAGGGAGTCAAATCCAGGTAATGGAATAGAATTTTCTTGGTAGCAGACCCCCTGATGCTGATTGCGATGTGGTAAGGAAATAGAAACAATCCTTTGTGGTTGTGAAGACTGTGCAATTAATCTCTCATGGCAGCTTCGTAAATGAGATGAAACTGTGATGCTCAAAACGAGGAAACAAAGGTACCTGTATGGCCCATGCCGCACACCCGATACTGTGTCGTATGTACCCCTCTTACAGATTGCACGTTTCTAGAACTTTGTGTTCTGGTCTTTGCTATAAATTTGGAAATCATAGTAGCTGAGAAGTATGCATCTGCTTCTTTAGGAGAGGGCAAAGCTGGCAGAGAGATTTCCTGCCATTCTGGCTGTAGTGTTAGTGATGAAAGATTTTTGCGGGCTTAGACTGTCACACAGAGCACAACCGTACCCTTGGGCATTTCTAATCTGAATAGTGCATCACTATTAAAAATAAATAAAGGTTTATGTTTCAAAATACTTCTGTGGATATCTGTGCGGTAGCTCTGTACAACATCTGTTACTAGGCGATGTCACCTGGATTCTACAGTGCATCAGGAGAGGCCGTGTATAAGCGGTTTTGTTTTCCTTGCAAACTCTTGTGCTTCGGTGTTTCTCTGTAGGGCACTGATTTGCAGTTCCTTTGCCCTGAGTGGGGGAGGGAGTCCGATACACAGGTTTTTAAGAAAGTTTTGGGGGGGGTGGGAGGGGGTTGTTTGTTTGTTTGTTTGTTTTGTCTAGCACAGTGATTCTCAATCAGGGTGCCTGGGATGCCTTGAGATCCTTTCAAGAGTGCCACAGGGTACCACACAACATTAGCACTGTTACATTTACAAACAGGGTTTAACTGCATTAAACAAAGAGATTTCAAATAGAAATCCAAAATTGTGGTTTTTCTGAGGTCAAAAAAATGATAAGCTAGAATTTTCCCAGGGGTGCCTCAAGTCTAAAAAGGTTGAGAACCACTGGTCTAGCAGATTGTGATTATGCATCACAGAAAATGATAGTGCCTTCCACAACAGGCAAGTCTGCTTTGAACCAGGTTATTTGTACCTTTTTATTCTTACGTTCAACTTACTGAAAATGTGTGTATATATATATATATATTGACTATTTTATTCTGATCTGTATTGCTCAGACCCTGGTTTTCAAGATTTGGAAAAAAGGGGTTTTTTTTCAATGGTATTAAAACAACATTCTTGCATTGAATGTGTTGGTAGCTATACATATTGCATTTTTTTCTGGAAAAATAGTCTTTACTGTCAATTTAATTTTTATATATGCAGTATATATTACTAAAACTAGGAATAGTTGTGACATTTATAACTAAGCACAGTTCTCTTGTGGAAATTGTTTTAAACAGCGTGATTTTTTTTTTTTTCTCAAACCTGAGAAAAGCTGTGTATTAATGATAAACGCTACTCTCTATTTCATGCTATATCTTTTTGGTCATTTATTTGAAAGATAGTCAAAAACACAACACAACCTACATTCTGTGAATGAAACCCAGGTAGCTACTTATTAAAAGAAAATATATTTTTTTTCTTTTGTTGAGATTTGTTTTTGAGTGAATGTTTTAATATAGTTTTTCTAAAATTCACCTTTCTAAATGCAGCGTCCCTAAGAAAAGCCTCAGGTATGTTTCTGAATATCTAAGACAGAACACATCCTTTAAGCCTATATAGAAATGAGGAGGGGTTTTGCGTGCGCTAACTAATATTCATCCACAGCTTCTCCCAAAATAGCAGTGGGTAGCCATGGCAGATGGCAATTCTTGTTTTGAACGGTGGGAGCTCACAAGCTACTCTCTTAATTCTCTGAAGGGCTGTTTTGGGCTATAATTTTGCTTTGGCAAGTAGCTTTGTCCTTTGGAGAACTGTTCTTTAATAGCTTCTTGCTCCACAACAAAGGATCCGTGTTTCCTATATTTAAACTTCAGTTCATTTCTGGCTTGTAGAATGCAGTTTGCCAAGTTGGAAACTAAGGCAGGAGCGTGTATCCATCACACATAGCTCAGACATTGGGCTTTATTGCCTTACAAAAAAACAAAACAAAAACCACAGCTATAAAAATAACACATTTTCCAAAGATAACATTACAAAAAAATACAGTTAATAACAGGGGTGGAATATACCTTATAATACTGCTGGAAAAAGCATTAGTTAACATTGAAAACATGAAGGATTATTTAAAAACCTTAAAGCATTAAAGTGCTTTAATTAGCTGTTACTTACAAGTGTGTGTTATTGTCTTGGTGAGCCCCAGAGTCCTGGTGCAGAGTAAGGACAATGTACACAAGTGCGGAGCTGTCAAATGGGGGGGTTGGCCACTCTCAGCCACAGAGGTTTGTGGGCTGGGGGAGAAACCAGTGAAAATGGGGCAAATAGTTCAGAAGGGTCAGAACAATGGCCCCTAGCCATGCACCCCATGTGCCTTAGCCCCTGAGCCACCAGTGAAGAAGAGTAAGCAGAGATGCTGAAGGAGCTCTTTTTCTCCTGCTGCTCTCCTGGCATTGGCAGATACAGCTCAGTTTCCTTGTGGGGCTCCATCCTGAATGAGGACCAGCCCATGATGCTTAAGGGAAGGCAAAAGCTGCTTGAAGCCCAGCGCATGTTGGTGAGACATATTTTAGCTCAGAGCAGTATCAATGAACTCCATAAGCTCTGTCAGGCTGGGGGATAATTTTTGTGGTGTAAGCACAAGAGTAAATAGCTATGGGGTTGCATTCTGAGCACCCCCTTACAAGGCTGAGGTTAAGGGATGTGCTACAGGCAGAGCTGCAGCTCTGAATAGATTCTGGGCAGTATGGCAGCCCTGGGAGGTTACTGAGACAACCCAGTCCTCTGGGCTGTCTCAGTTACAGACCAGTCCTGAAATGAGAGGGTACACAGGATGTTGAATGGCACCACCAACCTTCTCTGCCATCACTGGTAGCCTCTACTGTGCCTCTTGGAAGGGCATTGCCAGTCGCACCCACAGAATGTCTTGTTTGTGCCACTTGCTGGCACAAAACATCTGCATGCATCTTCGCGTTTCCTGCTGCGTATCTTGTCGAATTCAGTCAGGAGACAGACAAAGACATGAGGCAAATCATCTGGGCCCCTGTGCTAGGGAAGCACTGGGAAGGAATAAAAACAGCCCTACCTTCAGATGGTGTAACGGTCTCTGTTTGATGAAGAGGTTTCCTTTATCAGTAGTTTGGGAAAACTCAGGTTTTTTACTTCTATGGGATAATGATCAAGACTATACTTAATCCATGCCCTGAAAATATTAGGAACTCTAAGCAACACTTTATGGAAAAATTTTAGACTGGGGGGTTTAAGTGAATGGATTTGCCCTTCCTCCCTCAGAATCAAACAAAAAACTGTTTAAAGATTAAAAGAAAAACCCTTTGAATGTTTAAGATAAGACTTGAAACATAACAGCTTTCTGCCTGTTTACATGTCAAAAGCATGAAGTTAATTTATGACACTGGAGTGTCTTGGGGGTAATTATCAATTTTTTTTTTTGTAGCATACATGAAAATAAATCTTTCTTTATCCTTAACAGCACAATGAGCTTACTGTATATACAAGGTGTGTCTGTCCATATACACACATGTCATTTAGATACATGCACATAGTCTGGAATCAACAAATAAATTTCTTTTCTGCTCTACAAAAAACGAAAGAAAACAAATACTTTTTGGCAGTCCATCAGGAAAGCATGTCCTTTTGTCATACATCAGTCAACAGCAGGTATCCCTAACGTGAGTGGTACATTTCAGGTTTTGAACCCGTTTTCACAGAGAATGAGGCCTCAAAGAGTTGGGCACTGCTAAACAGACAGAGTAGGGAGAGGTAGGGTAGGAAGGAGACTGTTCTTAAGAATACGTTTTGCTTTTACATTGCATTCGTTTGATATGAAGACTGTCCGGCAAATTGTAAGGTAGCCCTGTATGTTAGCAAGTGAATATTCCTCTGCCTCAGGCAGCTGTGGCATCTCTACAGCCTATTTGGAGTGCCTATTTTTGTCTCAGCTGCTCCTTTCCTCACCTTGATCCTATCACAAAGCCAGTGGAATTTCCCTCCTGTGAAGGGCATCTAACCAACGGCCACACCCAGGTTCCCTCATGCGACTGAACGCATTTTTTCCACACACTTAAAGCTGGAAGAGTTTTGCCATTTTTATGATTGGTTTTCTGTTCCTTTAAACCTCTGTGTCTGGTCTCTTGCTGCCGGTGCCTGCAGAGACCTTCAGTTGATCTCTCCCTCTGTGAACTCTTCTTTTATGGACTGTTTGCGGGATTTGCAGTCCGGGAGGTCGAAGCCGAAGTCCGCCCACTCATCAGCCCCACTGCGATTAGGGATAGTGATGGTGTGGCGCACACGAAAATGCACTGCCTCCATGACGCGTTGTCGCTGCAGCTCGCCAGAGCTCCCGATGGAGATGGTGGAGGCATTGCTGCTGGAGCGGATGAGCTGCTGGGCCCCATAGTCGTGGCTCTGCTTGAGTTCCTGAAGGCCTCTCCAGATAATCATCCTGTACTGCTCTGGGATCTTCAGTGCTCCGAGATCCTAGAACATCAACAACGGTAAGGTTTGTCTCGGCCAAGCAGCAGTCAGAAATAAGGGCAGGGCAAGCCCGGGGGCTACTGTGACCATAGCTCAGAGGGCCTGTAGTCTAGGGTTGGGTATTCGACCGGTCAAATAAAGTTTAGTCAACTGACAGGTCAAATATCAGTTAAAAATTGTAAAAAATTGCCAATAGGCCCAAGTACTACACAGGAGAAGCACAAAGGTTTCCATTAAGAAATGTGTCAAAAAACAATCATATATCTGTCAAGAAAGGCTACAGAAGTTTTTTTTGGTAAAATTGCTACAATCTTGCATTGGTCAAGAAATATGCAGTCAATTGACCATCTTGCCAACCCTACTGCACTCCAGACATGAGGTTATCTTGGCTCTGCATCATCCCCCACAGTTTGAGTCATGGCCCCCATTGTTTCCATAAGCAGTGATTTCTCAATTAGGGCCAGATCTGGTCCTTGGAGGTGACAATGGACAGGCAACAAGGCACGCAATTTGGGGAAGGGAAATGGCTTGAATGGGATTATTATTTATTTATTTTTAAAGAGGGGTGGGATGGGACTGGGTTCCTTCATCTTGCAAATGACTGAGCAGCATGAGAATGGTCAGGTTGATATTTACTGGGAACCCGCAGCCCAGTTTTCCTGCAACCTTCCATCTTTTGACTGTGTTCACAATTTGGGTTAAGAGCCATGAACCCCAATCCAGGCCCCAGAGGCTGACAGCTTGGGCAAAAACTGCCTTGAGCAGCATGCAAGGCTCTGAACGACCCCCAGACCTGTGCTGTGGCACTAGCCTGTGCCATAGGGTTCTCGTATGCCACCCTCTGCCACCATGGGCAGTGAGGGGCATTCTGTACGACGCACAAGAAATGCTATAGATGTCACGGTATATATAGCCTGATTATCTTGGACATGGGTTGTGCCTGCAGGAGGCTGCCTCAGCACATGTACCCAACCCATTGTGTGTTAGATGCAGCGTAGAGCTGCTAGAGATCCATGTTAACACCAAATGCAGACTCGCACAGGAGTTAACTAGCTAGCATAGCAATGAGGGGTTAAACATCAACTAGGACACATGGCTCTACAACGTGGTGTACAGTTTCAATCATGCTAT